CAGCTCTTTTTTTTTTTTTTTTTTTTAGAGAGTGTCGTTTATCGGTTTTGCAAATGAACTCTTCATATGTATATATGAATATACATATTAATATTTATTTATATATATATATATATATTTATATAATAATTATTTATTTTTTGCAGGGATTCGAGGAGACAGCTGTCGATCGACACACGGCCGTTCAGACCTGCATCAGAAGGGAACCCGAGTGATGAACCGGAGCCGCTGCCAGCTCACAGACAAGCTCTAGGAGAGAGACTGTACCCACGAGTGCACGCCATGCAGCCGGTACAGACCAGCGCAGCCATCAGTATTCATGAACACATGCGAAAGGCCCTTATGACTTTAATCTTTCAGACGAATCCAATCGGAGTTATATTAAAAATGGTCTCGGCTATTCCAAGCGTTATTGCAGTTGGCGGGTGTTTCTCTGTTTAACAGTCCAAAACACGTCAAATAAAGCGTGCGCATCCAGAATAACACCTGCCTCACATGGCTCCGGGGCATGAATGAAGGTCTCCTGTAGCGAATCCATGCGTTTTTTCTGAGAAAAATATCCATATTTCAAACGTAATAAACACTTCTCTCTCTTTCATCTAACTGTCAATACGCAGAAGCCGTCACACGTCGATTAACCAGTTTCCTCACCGTCACAAGAATCGTGATGCTTTCCAAAAATCCACGAATCACGATTCATAGATTTATTGTCCCAGCCCTACTTGATATGAATTCATGTAAACCTAGGGCTGCACGATTAATCGAATGCGATTGTCATGCGCGTCTCGTCAGTAAAGCCGGTTCTGTGATTAGTAGTAAATAGGGATGTACCGATTCACTCAACTCACGATTTTGATTTCACGATTCGATTCGATTCACGGTTTGTTTTTGTTTTTTTTACAAAATGAGGTTTAAGACAAATTATAAATAAATGTGTCCTTTTATTATTGCTTGGACAAAATGCTGCACATTTCTTTGAGAAATTGAAATATAATTATAATAATATACTAATACAGCACTTGTATATTATTGCTCTTTTGTTGGTTTTGATTGCATCTATTGCCCTCATTTGTTAGTCGCTTTGGATAAAAGCGTCTGCTAAATAACAAAATTTAAATATAATGTTAATGTAAATAACAAAACTAAATTAACATTTTAAAACAAGCCCCAAATCAAATAAATAAGTAACACAAATAAAATAAATCTCTTCATATAAACAAAATAAGGCTTTGTCCGTGCTCTTTCCATTTAAAATTAGAGGCAATCATTTCCAAACAATGATATAATTGTTTTAATTATCATTATCCAAACAAAGATGCTGCATACATGCAACATGAGGATTTCTAAATTTGAAGCAAAAACAGAATGGTTTGACTTCAGTTTTGTGAAACTATACATAAAAATATCTGCATGAGAAACACAGCAGACGAACTGAATGAGATGCAGATTCACTCTCTGACAGCAGGTGGCGCTTCTGGAACAGCAGCAATACAGCTTTCTTTTTGCATGGTTACCACTGTAAACAAAGCAATGCAGCGCTTATG